TAGAGAAGAAAAGAAGGCCAAAATGAGCAAATAGTCTAAACACAGCTATGAAGATGGGAGAAGAATCACTGTATTTGGCAAAAGGTTGGTATCACTTTGCCTGTAGCTGAGTGTGTGTGTGAAAGAGACGTGTGGGGATCTAGTTAAAAGGTAGATTAGGTCAATAGGTCTGCATTTGACCCTGTGGGTGTCGGGGACACATTTAAAGTTTTGTGAAAGGAGCAATAACATTATTAGGATTGAGCTCCAGAATCATTAATCAGGTAGCATTTATCAGGTAGATCAGCAAAGCAATCTAGTGGATTAATCTGATAATGATGTATAATGTTGACTGATGGAGGTAGCCTAAGGTCAGACATTGGGAGAGGTTGCCATGGTTGAGAACAGAGACAAAGAAGAAGACAGACACAAATAGCTTACCCTGCTTTTCATCTCTCTCCCATAGATCAGTAGTTTTCTTGGGCAGTATTAAAACTTTCATACCACTTAGCAGTGGGGCTATACGTCCCAAGAGAATTTTCCCATGTCAATAATTAGAACACCCACTACTCCCCATTTGAATTGAAGATTAATTGTAAAATCTTTTGTTCCTCTATTTCTTGGTTAGCATTAGCACACATCCTGTTCCTCTCACTAAAACAGTTCCGTAAAGAGATTTTCCATTATCCACACTTTCTCTTTTGGCATAATTTTGATGGGTTCATGTAATACTCCAGCAAGACCTTCAATTTCCACTCTTCTCATCCTCTTCTTAGACTTTAAGATGCTTTAAGTAGAGCTTAGCTTATTTTCTCACCTTGAGATTCTGTATATAAACTTTACTCTTTCTCTGCTTATGATGCTATTTGGTTTTGTCATTATTAGCATTTTTTTAACCTACACTGCACTGAATTCTTCTGTACTTGAGTCTGGTTTTGCTCTTTCAGGCCTTTGATTTTCCTTTTTCCTGAAAGAGCTTTTATTAACACTTTTTAAACATATCACGCAATTTTTATAAGACAGATTTCAAAATATTTTAGACATTTGGAGGGAGAAATGGATATTTGCTCCGCTTTTTCAGGTCAAGATTACTGTCATGTATTAATATTATAAAAATAATTTGTTTATCCTTCCTATACATCTGAAAAATTCTTCCAGATTTTGAAAAATATGTTTGCTCTTATTATAATATTATATTAAAGGGTGGCCGCACCTCCTTTGCAACACAAGCTTTACTCTTTCTTGCCCTTATTTCCAACCAAGCCAATGGTTCACTTTCCTCTTTTTGTTAAGGTGTCTCAAGCTCTTAGCATACAGAGCTTCATAAGGACCCTTCAATCACTCTTCTTGTAAACTGATTCTAAACACTTGGCTTCAAATATTATTTTTGGTTACCTCACTATTACCTTTCTTAAGATGCATCTGAAATCCCCTCTCAACACCACTCATCTTGGATATTAGAAAAGACCCAGTCCCTTAAGTAGTTCTTCCTTTCACATTTCTCTTGTGGAGTATACACTTTCATACATCTGATCTCTTACCTTTTTCAACTTCTATCAATTCCATAATCACATATCTTTCCTCACTCCCCAGATCCCATAGAACTTACAAACAACTAGACTGCATGTTAAATATCTGCGTGCGTCTCGTTCTCCTCCTGTTGACTTCTATGAAGAGCCCTTCACGAATAATACATTTCCCTGTCTGAGTTCAGTTTGTTTATAGTATCTCAACTGAATAAAATTTTGCTTCTTTCTGATCCTAGCATGAGCCTCTAGATTCTTTGATTTTTGGTATAAATATTGCCTAATATTGACTGAGTACTGATACCATTTCTTTAATCTTCCCAATGGCTCTGCTTGGTAGATATCAATACCTTGTCTTACAAATGGGACATTTTCAGTAGGTACACAGGCATTCAGAGGAAAGGGGATGAGTAGGGTCTGAAACCAATGTGCAGAATTGGAATTAGTGGATTAAAGACAGTCAAGAGTTTGTTCAAGCTCATTCTGCTGGTGACCTCTGAGCTAGCACTAAACCCAGCTCTATCAGAACCAGCCTTGAGAGTGCAAGCTACAGTGGGCTTAGCAGGGAGTCATAGCCGGGCAAATGAGGACTTTCTGGAAGATAAGTCAGTTTCAGGCCACCTCAAAACTCTGATTTGATAATGGGATCAAAGACACTGGAATCTGCTATTGCTGAAATTTCTAAAGTCAAGGAGAAACTAGTGTCTTTGTGAATTGGTTTCATTTCCCCTGAAATGTGGACTTTAGGCCCAGCTCCAGCATATCTGCATACATTGATAGACTTTAAAAAATGCAGTCACACTTTTACCCTTTAAAATTGCAAAAGGTCACCTCTGACCACCTGTCATTGATAGTAAGTAACACTCATTTCAGAAGCACATCTTTTCCCTCAACACTATCTGCCTTCTTTACCTTCTATAGAATGAAAGTTAAAGTATAACCCAAATAATAACCCTGCAATTACTACAGAAAAAATACCAGCTATGCTAAAATGAAACTGGATATTTTTCACTTGTTATTACTATAGAATATATGTGTAGAATATAAAAATAATAATTTGCACTCATCCAACTTCTTTCACTCTATGTCTCAAATCCCTGAGTGAAAGTGGTCTCATTAAGTGGACCAAACCAATTTAACTCTAACATGTTCTTGAACCCTCTCTCGAAATCCACTGAGGTTTTCCCATCACTCATGCTGAACATTATCATCTAAAATTCTGGGCATTCTGCAGTTATGTTTGACCTTCCGCAGAAAAAACTCACTTACTTAATCATTTAGTTATGTACTAAAATAGACAAAACTACATAAGTAAAACTACATAAGTAAAAAAGAAAAACATTACTGTCGTATATATACCTAAAACTACACACACATTCACAAACACTCACATACACACAATAACTGAGTTTATGTATAAATGGAATCTCCTAAGAACCATTAGAAGAATGAGAAGAAATGTTTTATTTAGATCAATGGAAACAACGTCCACTGATTTCTAAAACTCCATTCAATTAGTCAGCAAATGTTACTCAAATATTTATTTTGTGCCCATAACATTTTAGGGGCTATAGAAGATACAAAGATAAATTACTTTTAGCAAATGAACAAATGCCCCACTAATTTCACTACAGGGTGGAATACAGGATGCTCCACGAAGACAGGGGCAGTGTAGACACTGCTTAGCTCTGTATCCTCAGGGTCTAATATTGTGAGTGGCACACAGTAGATGCCAATATGTGTTTGATGAACTTATAATGAAAGAATAATGCCCTTAAGTGATCTAGAAGTTCTTCTATCTGGCATGACCCAGGAAGGTTTTCTAGAGGACAAAGTATTTGATCTGAGTCCTAAGGGATGGGGTAAGTTTTAAAGGAGAGAATAACATACTAGGCACGTAAACACAAAGATGGAGGGGGAGGAAAGTGCAAGACAGTTATTAAGAATAGCAAATCTTTCAGTTGGGCAGTCCGGCATAGGAAACCTGTAAGGAAGAAGCAGTAGACAAAGCTGAAATGTTAGATTGAGGCCAGTGAGCTGAAATCCAGAAATGCCAAGTTAAGGAGTCCAGATTAAATTCTGAAAGGAAGCTCTGAATATTTGTGTTTGGATTCTTATATACCAGCTTTGCCACTTGCCAAGTAGTCATCATTCTTGATCTTGATCCTGAAGCTGTCAGGGAGAGTCTTCAGAAGTAGTTTCTAATTATATTACCAGCTGCTCTCTAAGAAACTGCTCCAAGAAGAAGCCTGAAAAATGCAGCAACCCCAGAAGAGAAGATGAAGACTAAGGAAGCGGGAAAGACATTCTTAAAAATAATTACTGTTGAACAGGTTCATCAGTTCCAAGTCTGCTACTAGACACCTGTACTACTTCATGTGGTACTTTGAACACAGATTACCTGAGCTCTAGTCTTCAAAGACCCAACTTAATACACAAATCTCAAAAGGTGAAAAGGACTCCAAGAGAGAAGAAGCCTCTTCAGAGATCTCTAATGCAGCATGAAATACAGCCTGTGTCTAATGAGAGACTGATTCTTAGACCAAAATGGTATAGAGTAGGGTTCCTGGATACAAGAGTTGTTCCATTCATTCACTACAAACCCAAACACACGAACTGTAGAGAAATAAAGGCACAACACATGCCTTAAGTAACTTACAATCCAGATGAAAAGAATAGTTCCTCAAGTCCTAGAATATTTGTGTTATTTAATTTTAGTTTCTCAATTACTTCATGAGTTTAATATTACTATTTCCATTTTACCAACTGAGAAATTAAGATTAAAAGGTTTCAGTAGTTTGCCCAAGCTAAACCAGTAGCAGAGCTTGGATCTAAACCCAAATTTGTCTAACTTCAGAGTCCATACTCTCTCTTGCACCAGTACAGCCTTAGGGCCTAGCTTAGTATATGGGAAGCAACATAAAGTATAAGCTAAAAACAGGATCCCTAGCAGAAGACTGTGTAGGTTCTAGATCTTGGCTTCACTTCTTTTCCACTAAATTTTTTGTGCCTTATTTTTCTCAATTATAAAACAAGGGGGAATTAGTATTAGACTAACACTCCCTACCTTATAGGGTTGTTGTCAGATTTAAATGAAATAACACATCCAAAGTCCTTAGGAGAATGGCAGGCCTAGAGAAAATGCTCACTTAAATTAGCTATGATGTGTTACTGAAACTTCATGGCAACAGCAATCATTTAGACACTTCAATGCACATTTTCTTGATCTGAATCAACATCCAAAGTCATCCTTCAATTAAAAGGAAATCCCTGGAAAATATTACGCAGTAGTTTATTTGAACACTAAGGAATATATGCAATAGCAACACGATAGCAGAAGTCACAAGAGCTGCACTGCTTTTTAGAAAGACTCCTCTAGCTCTGGTAACTTTCTGACTGATAAATTTGACTGCTTAGCTCTTTTGTTATCTGTTTATTTCCTGCCAGTACAAATACTCAGATAAGACGATACATTTCCGTAGTTTACAAACTTACCCACGAATGTGGGAGATCCATATCTGTACCAGAAGACTTGAGACGTGGGTGGTGAGTGCAGCGGAAACAGTTGTCCCAGGGGGCAACTTGGGCAATTTGGAAATCAACACATGTCCAGAGCGGGTTTTCTGGAAAAGGCTTCCAGCTGTTCCACATCGGAATTTCACCTTCATTATAGGATAACATTTCTGCCAAGCTGCATCCAGCTGAAGTGCTAGATCTAACCAGTGATGCAGAAATAGAATCTAATCTAATCTCCACTTCTTCCTTCCTCCTTGTGCCAACATTATTAACTTTCCTTTCTTGAGATTTGGCTAATTTCATACAGGAAATCAATGTTTCATCTTCATCTTCTGAAAGATAAAGAAATAAGTTAAGAAGTAAGTGTCTAATAGTTTGGCACATGTAGAAATTAAATTATACTTCCCTTTATATAACAGAAATGAATGAACACCACAGGATAAACCAAGAAGTGATTTAACTTCACAAAATAATTTACAATTGCATTTCTTTAAAGAGTCTTTTCTATATTAAATGATTTGTTTTATAAAAACAGATTTACGCCAAATTTTTTGAAGACATATAGAGATATATAATGATTAAAGTCAGTTTGACTGGAATAACTGGAAGCCACGTGCAAATGGTATACTGAAAGATATTTGAAAAAGCTACAAATTAAAAAAATTCCCCATATCTTATAAGCATAATATGGTGTCCTTCCATTTTTACATATTTATAATTTTTTGAAGGCACATGTATAAGAGAGCATCATAAGGAAGAAAATTAAATCTTTGCCTTATTTAAAAGAATGAAATCTCAGTGGATATGAGCTAAAATCCTATTGGTATTCTAAAATTTTCTATTTTCATATCAATCTGCAAAGAGATTTATGCATGCTGTGTGTCTCACAGGGGAATAGTTTAGAAAAGCAAGAACAAGACTGAGAAAACAAAAGTAAAAGGTATATCTTTAATACTATAAAGTTGATTAGTGAAACCTATATTTACTTGTGGTGAAGGGTCTGATGAAATTTCTAGTAATATATAAAACAGTTACAGAATATAGAAATATATATGACTCATAGTAAATTGCACCACATTATTGAATCTCTTTAAGTTCAAATGCTTAACTGGTGTAAACAAAAGATTATGATTTATAGGGACTTATTGTAAATAAGTAAATGAAAGTCAAAGTTCCATGTCACGACACGCCAATTTGCTGCATTCACATTAAAATTAAAGACTACTGTTTTCTGTGGCCAAGGAATGGGAAGAGTAGAGACTGCTGACCCTTATTCTCTTGCTGAGCTTCAGCCATAGCTTCCTCTCACTCTATCCCTGTGCCTAGTCCTGAGGGGAAGGAGGAATAGTGGAGTATAGGAATAAGAAGAAATTTAGGAATAGGGTGAAGATATTTGTTTTACAAATAATTTGGTAGTAAAGAAATAAAAGAATATTTAATGATTACTTTAAGGCGTTATCAAAATGGCCTTCATTGAGACATGAAACCGCAATACTTCCTCGAAAAATTTTTAGCAGCTCATTGAGTTCTTACTTACGGAGATTTATTAACGTGGGTTTCGTCTCATCCAGACTCGGCACCCTGGCTTTCTTGGTCCAAACCAGTTTCTGTAGTCTCTTTAATGTCCCCATGGATTCCACTGGGTCACCACCTGGTCTTATTGCCTAGCACAAACATAGCTCAAGGTAAAGACAAATTATTCTTCACCAAAGATTAAATATAAAATTTGTAAAGATGATAAAAGTGGGGAAATAATGAGACCTTAAAACCTGTAGCCTGTGACAATTTAAGCAATAACTCGAAAGCACATTACATTTTTGGGGTTCAAACTTGTAAAATATATTATAACTGCTCAGTCATACGGAATCAGGGCGCTTTTTATCAATTTTTTTTTACTTAAAAATGCAGCAAAATTGATTGAATTCAGAGTCATCTATAAATGACTTATTCCTGCTCAATGTGAAATAGTCCAAGGAACAAGGTCTTTAAAGCACAACATAAATGGAACAAGAGGTTTAAAGTTGCTACTTGCAAGTGTAGGAATAGACTGATGGTGCGCAAAATAAAAAGCAGAATTCAAATTTTTTTCACTTTCATTTTGGAAATTTCTGGTAAAACAGCACTTTATTTCAAGTATGAAATGTTTTCAAATAATATACTTTTCTTTAAACAGTCTCTTGCTTTCTAGAAGTTACACACTGAGCAAAATAAAACACAGCCACCACATTCTACATTATGTTTTAGTATATAAGTATCACTGGTTTACTACGGCAAAAAAAGTCAATAAAAGAATTAAAATTGCATTAATGACTCAAAGTTTCCTTGGAAGATACAGAAATATTTTCCGCTAGTTTAGTGTTGGCAAATTTGTATTTATATTGCTTTTACTTATTGTTTTAGGCTGTCTTACTCTTTAGGATTTCAACATATGTTGGAAATTAATACTTTATGTGCTAAGTTTTATACTAATTGGTAAAATGGTTGAATTCTGTTATAAACTAGATGTGAAGTAATACATAGCAAAATACTTCTTTTCCACCCAGAAAGTTCTGGACTTAGAAATATTTCTCCCTCTGCTTCTGCCTCATTCTTTCTATTTGAACAGTTGATAAATGACATTTAAATAGATACTGCAATTTTCAAAAGGTGAATGATTTGCATCCTCATTAATGTTTGAATGAGACATATTTATAATAGTGCTTTCCAATCCTTTGAGAGAGGCTATAAGCCCAAAGAAATGTCTGGAAGAAAAGGATCTCTGGCATGCAAACATTTCCAATCATTATATTCAGCTCTTATTCTTGGTCTATAAGAATGACTTTGAGCAACCAGTATAAACTTGATGCTCTGTCTCTGCATAATAGCACCTAAGTAGGAAATGTGACGTTTTGTCAGCGCAAGCCATACCCATTTGCCTTAAATAAATGGGAAAATATTGAAATCATTTTTATCTTTCAGAGAAGACTATGATGAGATTTTTTTAGATATGCAAATCTCCACTCTCTTTCCAAAGGTCATGCTTAGCTCAACACAATTTCTATTGCTATTTATTTCTGTATTATTTTCTCCAGTACTCCTTTTCGGTACTTTCTGAATTACTCAATTTTACAGGCCCCTTACAACTCAGGAAGAGTCATTTTTCTAATCTTTAGCCCCTTCCAGAAAAAATAAGCTGACATTGCACAATCATTGGGCATGATATTTTTCTTTGGTGTGCTTTCTTTCTTACGGCAGTCTCCTCCTGTTACAGGGAAAGCTTAATTGCTCCATTGAAACATTGGCATCAAAAATAGCCTTCTCTCTCCCCCTTCTTTATGAAAAAAACTTATGCTCGATTTGGGGAAAGGTGTTATATACCAGGGTAACTGAACTTATTAATGATTTCCCCTAGGAGGAACAGAAGCATTTGTACAGTGTCTAAATTCAGATGAGTGAGCTCTCATGGCCCAGAAGTGTTAAACAAACTGACCCCTCATTATTTTGTTCAAACTCTGTTATAGCCTTTTTAAAGCACAGTATCGTTAACTTTCCTATCTTTAGCCACTCACTCATCTTTGAGTTAAAAGAGATCAGTCTACTGCATTTTATTCATTTTTTAATTCCATTTGCCGAGGATAGTACATGGCTTAATAAATGTTTGCTGAATGAATACACTCTTGATTTCACACAATATTTTATCCATCAAATGGATTATCCTAGTAAATTTTTTATACTAGACTGGCAACTTTCTAATAGGAAAGTACTTCTGGAAAACCTTCTCTTGCTTTTAGGTAGTATATACCTGCAGGATGAAAGTTAAAATTAATACTATTATAAGAGATATAGAATCATTAAAATTATCTATTAAAAAGAAATCCTGTAGAATATTTTCAAAATAATAATATTACCTGCTATAATCCTCTAATGTGTTACCTGTATATTTGCACAGAGTTTGTTTAAAATTTATAATAATGTGCCTTTTAATTTTGAGATATTTTCTAAGAAGACTGACCCATAAATAAAACTTACCATTCAACCAAACAACAAACATTCATTAGGTACCTACTATATGCCAAGCACTGTCACATGGTCTGAGGATATGACATTGAGCAAGTAAGAGGAGATCCCTGCTTTCACAGTCTACATTCTAGAAGGAGGTGACATACCGTAAACATAACGTAACCTAAACAAGTACATACCCAAGAGAATGTGACGTAAGATGTGCTGTGCTAAGAATAGACAGAGTGACTGAGTGGGGACAGGGGATGGGGTTACTAATTTACACTGGGTGATCAGGAGGGGCTTCACTGAAGATACTGAAACTGCGACCTGAATGACAAGAAGAAACCAGACATTTGGAGATGGTTTTGGATTCCGTGGATACGTCAGGCAGGACATTTCAACTGAGACTTGAATGACAGAAAAAGAGTCAGCCAGGCAAACAGCAGAAGGGAAAGAATTCCTGGAAGAGGATACAGCTTGTGCAAAGGTTCTAAAGCTGGAACTCCTGGAAGAATTAGCCCGTGCCCAAGGAGGAGAAAGAAGGGAAGAGTATCACGAGATGAGGCCTTCAAGGATGCTTTTGTAGAACAGGTTGAATAATACGCATTTTATTCTAATCATGGGAGTGACACAATTTGGTTTACATTTTTATTTCTCTTCCCTCTCTAATGAATTTTGATCATTTTACTTCTAAAAGGACTTTCCCAATAGCACAAAAACGTGCTCTGATCTCATCCATCTTTAATTCACCATCTTTTATTTACCACTCTTTCTCCTCCCTCTCCCAGGCTTCTCAAAGATGTTAACTGTGTACGCTTCCTTTAAGTCCTTTAATTTCCCATCCTTTCAACTCACCTCAGGTACTCATCAATCAGCTTTTGTCTATACTATTCCTTTTAAATTGCATTTGTGGTCCAATGAACCATTCTCAAACTCCACTACTATCTGACATTCAGCAACACTGATCATGATGACTTTAAGGAAATACCTTGTTTTCTCGGCTTCTTTCACGCCATTTTCCCTGGTTTTCCTTTTAACCTTTTCTGGCTATTCTTCTTTATCTCCTATATGCTGACGCTTCCTTTTCTCTCAAAATTAAATGCTTAAATTCCTTTAGAACTAGCTCTGGGCCCTCATCTAATACCACCATCATTATTTTCTCATCACACACACACACACACAGCTTTTAATATCACTTATATGCTGATGATTCCTAGTTTATTTCTCCAGGGCTTTCTTTAGAGCTTCAGACTCACACATCCAATTGTCTATTTTAAATGACTTAGAAGCATGATCAAGACTGACCTCTAGACCCCCAAATATGATCCTCATCTGGTCTTCTTCAACTCAATGAACGCCATCTTCATCCACCCCACTGCACATTGCGTAAATCAGATGATCACTTTTGCACTTACCTCTCCTTTGTTTATTTATATTTATTCCATTGCTGAGTTTGGCCTATTCTCCAAAATGTGTCTTGAATCGTTTCTTTTTCCCCATTTCCATTGTTACCACTCTAGTTTAATTTTCTCTCATTGAAACTATTGCCAAGTCTCTAATTGGTGTTCTTTTCACTTTTGCACTCGTTCAGTTCATTCACAATACAATGTTCGAGTTCCCTTTGAAAGATGAAATCTGACAATATTACTGTCTTGCTTAAATTACTACAGAATTTCCCAGTGTTCTTTAAATAGCATCCAAATACTTAACTAGGTCTGTAAGGGCTACGTCTCCAGGCTCCACTTGGGCTCACAGGCAGAACTTTGGGTTCCAGTCTCTGGAGCTCTTTCCTTTCTCGGTGTCTTTGTGTGTGCTGCTCCCACTGTCTGGAATGCTTGTTCTCATTCTCCTGACCTGGTTAATTCCTACTCACTCTTGGAGCATTGGCCTAAATGTCATTTTTTCAGAGACATCTTTCCTGACTCCAAAATCCAAATTAGGTCCCTATTCTTTTACCTTCTTGTCTTTCACCGCAATTTCAAACATTGCATCATTGGTTAAATGGTTTTTCCCCAGTAGACACTAAGCTGAAGCAAGTCAGGAACCACACCCGTCCGTATAGTTACCATACAATATCCTTAGTATCTATAACGTTGTTGATATTTGGTACTCCACATGAATTAGTTGAAATGATGATAAGAAATGAATAAAGGAATAAATGGATGAAGACTTGATTTTGTAAAATCTATTGTTTTGAAATGTAATGATACAAAACAACATGATTAGAAACCGACAAATGAGAGAAGAAAATTATTGCATTTAGTTTACTTATTTTTTATCCATTAAGATGGTAATTATATGTAAATATAAATTAAATATTTTTCATATGTATATTTTAGTATGTATCCACTATATCTTTCATATATATTGTGCATATATAAATGTGCATATCTTTTAGCTCATTTTGGTCACATTCCTTAATGTAAAATTCTGTTAGAAGTGTTGGATTAAATACATCTCACTTTCTGACACTTTGCTTGACTATTAGGATGACAGAATAATTTTTAGAAAATAGCATTAATGAAATTATTGAACTGGATTAGTCTTACAATCATATTTTATGAGCTGGAGTGGAACTTACTGGACATCTAGTCTACCAGCCTATTTAAAAAATGAGAAAATCCAGAGAAGCTAAGTGGCTTATCCAAGGAAAGATAATTCATTAATAACAGAGCTAGGATGA